AAAATTATCTAATTGAGGCTTAGTTAATCAAGATTAGTGGGTCATGTGGTTTGGGATTTTGGTGGATGTTAGGTATTATAATCCAGCACACTTGCTATTATAATTTACCCTCTTTTCCATCTTCACCTTAATCCGTCGGAGCTGTGTACTGGATGCTGGAGCAGCATGCGATAGGAGGGTCCGGACTGGTGTGGTATAGGCTGCCCTGAAGAATTATATCCCAACATTTTTCAAATCCCCAGCTGGGATTTACGTACATCGGGTTGGAGATTAATCATATTTTATTCCGCCTAGCTCGACTTAAGTCTTCCAAAGTTTTAGTTTCGAGATATAAGCCCTGGGCGCTTCCGGAGCGCTGGTTACAGCAGAACGTGTTTACATGAAAATTTCGTATTCTTTGGATGAATAGGATGGTAGTACTTTTTATCGCTTGCCGCAGACAGGTGGAGCTGTTTTTAATGAGATTATGATACTTTTCAAATTTCAGAAAAAATACATTCAAGTATCGTATGTGACACTAAAGTTATTATAGTTTATATATATTACTTATAGTATACGTTTGATTCATCGTTTATTTTCTCATTGTGTAACGTATTTTTTAATTTTACAATATTTACTTTTTTATGTTATTTTCTTCACACTCTCTTTTGGCTTTTGGTTTATGGGAAACTAATGACTGGCAATCGTTTAACTCGAGTATTATTTTATGGTGAATCTTTTATGGGATTTTTAGAAAATTTAATATTCGTATGATATGAGACATGCGTGGCATCTTAAAGGAGCGTTCGCATTTGCCTTGGTATTCGTTACCTTTCCCATGTAATTTCTAACGGTATAACGCATTTTCACATTTTCGTTTCGCATTTATAATTCCTATTCACCTCGAGAAGTTTAGCTGCACCTGCACAAAATCTATTACTCTGAACTAATTAGGAATTCTAATGTTTTCACGTAACGACGTTTATTGACTTTGGAAATTGCAAATTATTCACGGAAACCAGCAATTCTTTTTTTGTGTTTCTTCTTTCCCATTTTCCATATTCGCATTCCTTATCCCACGTTTACGGATTCGAATCGAATCTTACATGTTTGTATCTATTGGAGCATGGTATCAGGAAACAAATCTAAGAACGTTTGTCTGGTTCCGAATAGATTTTTCTCCTTTGTGAATTCACTTTTGGATAATCGGAAAAACGTGAAATCACTGAGCTGAAAGAGTCTGTTGTATATTCAAGCTAAGCATTATATCAGCGTATGAGATCCGTTTAAAAAATACATTTTTCGTGTAAAACTCGTTGCTCATGCCATATACAAATTTTTCCGATATCTTATCGGACATTGAGAATTTATATTAAATATCTACTGTGCCGACTGTAAAAATATTTTCTTTATTTATCCCAATCTGGCGGCAGTCTTTTACATTCAATGAATTAATAATTTAATTTTAACGTCAATGTAATTTTCGACAAAAAAAAAAACGAAAAAAAGAAATACCGCCGTAAAAATATATATTCGTTAATGGAGGAAACATAAAGTGGGAAAACCGAATAATCAAACGATCTCGTGTATCTCGATCCAAGGGATCTCCCGAAGGACAAACCCAACGGGCGCTGATATAACTTCCCATAATTTGTATAAGGGCATAAAAATGAGAATCTCCCTATTTCCCTACAACGCCCATCTTTCGAGCTCAGTTTCAAATAATGAGAAAGGTACTTAGAAACTCAATTTCTTCTCCCAATGCCTATATAAGCACTTATATCGTATCCCGAAGGAGTCGCACTCATCCACGTGGAATTGGGTATTGAATTTAGAAGACGGGAAATGAGAAGTCGAACAGGCAATATCGCATAAGATGATTTCGTCCTTGTTACCGAACCGAAATCTTGAACCGAAGACAAAGTGACGTAAATGGTGAGAAAGGGAGGTAGGGAGGGGGAAGGGTTTGGCGTTGGAGTCGAATTTACCTCTTTCGCTCTTTCTCATAAAATCTTCAACCCTCTATTATAAATGGACATAGTACTTACGTGCGAGCCTTTACAAATGCTTTGCCAGTGAAAAGCGCAAGTGTATTTTGCACGGAAGATTAAGCCGCTTTCAGCTTTTCTCTAGATATAGATACCTGAAGATGGTTTCTTTCTTCTGGTATCAATGAGAGCGAACGATTGAACGTATTTTCACGTCTTCGCGGCTATACTATCCCTATAGCTAGTATCTATACACACCTATCCCTTTGGCATCTGCCGTCTCACGAGGAGTGCAATAATTTGGGTTTTAGGGATATCGAATGGACATTGAGACGTCGTCTTTCTTGGCTTCCTCCAATAAGGAAAGGAGCTCGAATAGCTTGCGAGGCATTCTATCCTGGCAGGAAACTCGTGGGGGGTTGGACTCGGCGTTGTAAATACGTCGCTACCCAATAATAACATTTCCACTCCCTCCCGTCTCGCCCTCTTATTCACATTCGCTCCGAGAGCCAGTCGTCCCACAACTGCTTACGTGACTGACAGCTTGGGGATGCAGGCTCATGTCAATGAACGCAGCCTAAACACGTCTTCCTTTGGAAGTTTCGTTACTCCGAAGGAGTGGTTCGAACGCGGTGAACAGCAGGGATGATTGGATCAAGGGAGAGATAAGTAAGAAGACGAGTAAAGTTGTTATCCAAGGTACTCAGGATTTTGATAATATATTTGTTTATATTTGCGCTTGGGTAAATATTGTAAATTTATATTGGGGCCATATACTTTGGTGCGATTAATTAATTCTTTGACTTTCGTAAGGTAAACCTCGTGCTTCTGATTCTTTGTTGAGATAAATCTTTATATTTTTGTTGTCTCTGTATTTCTTGTTGCTGTTTCTAAAGAGATTGTGTTGCAACGGGCAGATGAAAAATTCTCAATGGAAAGACACGTAAGGACGATTTGCGAGCAATTGAACATTTTTCCATGCATTTTCTTTACGTTTTTCTTCGATTTTATTCGAGGCTTTTCCTATTCTTGCATAGATTGCAGGTAGGGGACTGCATGCACTTTCACGTACCCTTATAGATACGGAATATACAATAGTATATGTATAGCAATACATTATACAAGCTATCCCAGCTTGCGAATACATTCAGTTCCATATTCCATATTCCATAGCCTTCACAATTTCGTATAGCCGAACATTTTCCAGGAATAGTTGGAAATACAGATTACTTAGGTCTACTTATTGCGGGATTATCCGGTTTTCAGAGTACTTGTTGCGCGAACTAATTCTTTCTGGAAGATTACTTTCTAGATGGATCTGCAGATGATATTTGAATATGAGTAAAAAAATTTATCTTATGGATAAAAATTGATTAATTCACTGATACAATTCGTATTATTTTCTCTCGTTATTTCCATTTCACAAATGGGTATCATAACGTCACATACGTTTCCATAATAATTCCCACTGTCCCGAGCGCGCAGCAGTTATCCGATATAAAGGAATTACTTCGAAATTTCAATAAATTCCGATTACAATTGCACCCCAATACACGGCAAGGGATGGCATCATGACGAAGAAAGAAAATATCTGTCAGAGAATACATTCTCGCTATACGCAGTGATCCATAGGGGTTGTTGAGAGCAGCACCCACTACCCTCTTTGGCGGTGATAACGAGCCTCATAACCCCGTTTTATCTCACATTTCATTTCCTTTTTTTTTCTATCTCCCCATACTGCTACGTTCTGCGCACACACTCCGCCACATGGAATTCACCCCCAAAAACGGTAAACGGGACCCAGAAAATAAAAGTTCCAAGCGATACGCTCACCGTCGCGATAAGCCTGTCTTTATCGTTTCGTAGCGTCGTATACTCAAGCAGCCTCTTCCGTGCAAGGAGAATTACTCTCTGGTCTTTATTAGCTTCAGAAGACTCGTCATATGTAACCCCACGATCTAGATTCGAGATACTCGCTCCTTATACACGTGTGCTCCTTGTCGCGATACAAGGAGGTACAGAGATCTCTAACGCAGCTGCGTTTTTTAGAAATCGTATTACGGATACCTTATTCGTATGGCAGACAAGTTATCGGACATCCCGTCGACTTTAAGGCAGTGTAAATAATTTCGCTCGAGAGGAGACATCATGGCGGTGAAGTAACGTACGAAAAGTGCGGGATTCTCATAAAATATTTTACGCTCAAATGTCTCGTTTCAGAATGAATTTTCTTCTTCTTCCCTTTTTCATCTCGAGAGTTCCTTGCTCCTTGCGATAGCTAGGAAAAAGACGCTCGCGTCAGCAGTAGAATCGACGGGCGTCGATAGTTTTCAGCGATTTAGTGATTTGAAATCGCGTGCGCCTTTACAAGGGAGGATATTTCTTCTATATGATTTCATGGAATATAGTATAAAAGTCTTCCTGGTATACGTGCTATACGGGATAGAAAAATAGGATAGAACGGAGGGATGTATTAGATATAGAAAGATACTTTGTGTTGTTTATCACTGTTTTTCGTCATTAGGAATGAGGTTTTTTTTTCAAATTACCTTTTCACTTATTATTTCGCTAGCGTGCTGTCGCTGCCGTGCGGGTACGACTATGACTGTTCTGTGTGTATTTCTTTGAACTTTCTTTTCTGTATCAGGTGGGAGCACTCGTGAAAAAAAGCTCTTAACGAGCTTGCGTGTAATGACGAGGGCGTCGTGCTACTTTGTGTTTACTTTCGTGCCGAATGGAGTCCATTCAATGGACCGATTATACTTCTGGGACCCTCCGGAACCGCTTAATATCCCAACGTCATGTCTTTCTTCTATTAATAGTGATATTATGATTATAAGCTCATGTGGAAAATTTAAGTGCGCTCACAGTGTTGTCGAGCTTTAGTGTGCTCAATTATGTATTTAAAGCAACCGAAAAAAATGTCATTAAATTTCCCATAGAGATGTTTAACGCCTTTAGGAATGCGAAGACGTCTATATAGATATTTCGAAAAAATTCATTTTCTAATCGTTCCGACACTCATTGTTGCAGGCACACACACCACTTCTCGCGGGGGACACGAGACATGTAAGTAAAAAAAAAAAAAGAATACAAAATAGGAGCCTTGTGTGCACGTTTAGAGTGCTCGTTAGTTCGAGTTCCGAGTGCATAGTTATGTGTTTCTGTTTTGTTCCTCTTTTTTTTTGTGTCTCCAGTTGCTACTGCATAATCGCAGCTGGACTTGCATGCGAGCATGCTGCATGTTCGTAATGTCGAGTGCTTTTGCATCCTTGGCGTTTTCGGGCACGCCTATGAAATAGCAGACTTACTTAAATAGACCACTGTCGTACCATGTTAAAGCTGAAGAAAGAAATGACATTTTTTTTCTCTTATGTATTTTATATCTCATATTCATTACCTTTACCTGCATTCACATGTATTTTCAGATAGTTGATAGTTTTTCTATACGGGCGCGCCTGGCGAATAACGTATTATACAATTTGCAAGCACGTCCCTGACATCTTATCTGCATTGTGTTTGCTTTATTATTGTATACCTGATAGTACAGTGTATTCAATTAATTTTATTAATTAGTTTGAGCCGTAGAAAAATTATGTTAATACGTCTAGTCTAGTTTTTCGGCTTTATCCATTTTATTACATATAAGAGGTACGATGATAAAATTGCAGAACTCCGACTCGTTACCTCTAATAAAGTTGCTGCGACGTGACAAGAATCCCTGCATAACTAAGCGTAAGAGCAGATCATGCGTTAAACGCTATTTATTTGATTTAACGAGCCCGTACTACGTTCTACGAGCAACAGTGATTCAAAGCGCGGAATTTTAGTTTCTTGCAGCTGCTTTATTAGATAGGATTGTCTCAACTGCAAATTTTTGCAGTATAGGGATTGTATTGATATAGAGCCACTATTTAACATTTACAAATTTGAGAAAAAAAATTTAGCTGTTTTTTCAATATGAGAATCTGGCATATACGACAACGTTGAATTCTCTATTCGTATTTAAGAAATGAATTTCTAAGCGATTATTGAAAATCATATTTGAGTATATAACTTCTATTTAAATAATCAAATAAATTGTGTCACACGCATAGCCACGATCCAAACTCTTCCCGAAGTAGTTAGTGCGAAATCATAGTGGTACGTCAAACTTCCAGAAATCAACTTATTCCGCGGAAATTGTTTTATCCAGTCACAATCCATAACCCACGTACAATCTAATTGCACTTGAAATTAATCTAGCTAGCTTGTCGGGTAACGCTAAGCGACGTCTGAACGTTCACGCGCCGTATACTATGAAGTTCAGTTTAATTTACGAAAGTCAGGACTGATTTGCCTGTCGTGGTTGCTAATTACCTGGGAATTAGTAACATTCTCTGTCGCAGCCAAACAGATGGATTCTAAGCTTTGAATTCTTGAAGCTTTCTCACTTTAGGTTATAATATTACACAGTTTTGACGCTTACTACGGAAGTTTGTAAATCGAACGTAATTAAAGCAGGATGAGCATAAAAAATTCCATACGTCTAGTATATATGGCATATAGTCCAAAACGTAAGTTTTCAAATAGGAAATAGCGTTTTGTTTTCAAATTTGAAAATTGAACTTCAATTCTCCGTATATATACCAGATACATAGGAAGTGTCCCTCCCACTGATGGGAACTGTCCTGCGAAAATACGTAATAATTTAAAGCGCATAGGGAATTTCCAGCGAAGTGCCTGGCAATAGGTTGAATGTGTTTTTTCTTCCTTCGTCCTATAGCCAATATAGTAATACCTGAGAAGAGTTAAATCTCCATCCCTCTTAGCAACGAGCAAACACTAAACTTTCTGCCTCTCGAAACTTCTTCCTCGTCTTCCCCTACACGCCGGGGGAAGATTCATAGAAGCTTTAATTCGATTTGTAGCCTACCGAAATTCGGGAGAGCATATTTCATTCCTTGACACGTCGAGAGGGAGGGAGATGCGCTGCCGCTGTAGCATAATGTATGAATATCTAGTTTGCCAAATGGAGTAAACAGCTATCTAACCGCTGGTACCGTCTGCCACCAGTTTCACTCGTGCCACCAAATAAGAACGACGTAAATCAGACGAAAAAAAAGAAGGTATCCCTTTTGAGATTAAATGCTGGAAAATACGGTCGTCTATTTTCGCGATCCATCACCGCACGAATTATACACCGTAACATCGTAACTTTCGTAACTGGATCGAAGCCGCTAGAATATCCAGTATTCACAGTAGAGCCTGTCGAAGTGAATCATCACTTTTTATTTCATCGGAAAATAATAAACGGGATTAACCGAATCCCAGAGAAATTAGTCAGTTTCATTATTATCGTGTTCGTCAACTTTTCTATGGTTCGTTCAAGGAAATAGACTTTCAAGTTTTCAACCTTCCTCTGGGAGTTTGCTAATGAAACAAATTCCAAGGTCTGTAACGTCACTCTCCTCAAGGGACACCCTCGTCCCATATTACGTCGACTTGTCGGAATCCTAATTCTATTACAACACACTCGTATCCTGGCTTCACTATACAATCCTAACCAGTGTAGCTTCGTCATACGAACCACTGTCATTTCGTCGGGTTGTACTCTGCTATGGTACGTACACTATACCTATTGGATGCTTGAGGCCATTGCTCCCTTATAATAATACGGGATACTGTCACTTTACCGTTTCATCCCCTCGCGACGTAACTAAAGAGGATGTGATACAATTTTCACTATCAAACACGTGAATTCGCCCTACGCCAGCCGAGCACTTGACGCTGCTGAGATTAGCTGTCTCGATGGATTGTGAATCACTGTCTCGTTTTAATGCTGCGACGGAGGCCTTTTTCGTGTTCAAGGGAGAATTTGCCAAGCCGTTTTAGCCCCGTGTCGGAAATTAAACCTGAGGGATAGCGGTCGGACGTTTTCCCTTTTGCTATAGGTAATTTGAGCCTGGATGTCTCCACGGTTATAACGGGTTTAGATCAATTCGCTTTTGGGAACGGGATAATTGATAATTGTTAGTTTTTCTTCCAGACTCTCTCGTGACAATCTTGCTCCTCCGTTCAACGGAGAAATCGTCCGTTAACCTTTCGGTTCGTTTGTCACCACGTCAATCGATACTTTCGTTTCTTCTTATGAGACGAAATACTCTTCTCATTGTCAGCGTCATTTCTTGGCTCCAATCCTCCTAGACAGATATTTTCATTCTTCTCGCAGTGCTCAGTCGCTATTATGATATTGTCATTATTAGTATTATTATCATTACTGGAATTACAGTACGTACTATTGTTCTTTGAATCTGCCAATTTTCTTTTGCCCCTCGATGTCCCACGTTACAGTGCGTAGAACTTTAACCGTCCATCCATCATTATTTCACGGGATGTACCGGCGGTTCGCATGTGGTCCAGAATGTATATTAATGGTCGTCCCTACTGGTATTATGAGTAATTATACTTTTCCGCTTCATAGGTATTTCGTATGGGCGGTCATGCTGTTTTTAATTTTGAAAAATCCAAATGTGCTTTTCTCATTCACTCTTTTTTGGCGCAATCTGACGAGCGTTTTTTGTTTTTAATATTATTGCCGGAGTTACACTGACGTTGTGTGAGGGTCACGGCGCGAGGTCACTGTACAGAATTGAAAAGTTCTCCACTCGACCAGTGCCTCGTTTCCGAAATAACAGTTCTTGCATTGTCCACTCACGGTATTGCTGTACTTCACTGCCAGCATTGGATACTCATGTATCTACATTAAAAACTATATTTCAAACTCAATTTTACGTGTATGAGTTCTTTTTTCTATGCACTTAAAAACAAGTGTACATTAATATTCGCTATTGCAATGAGCCTATTTCTGATTTTTTTAAATGAAACTATCAGCTCGTGGTTGTTGCCTGAGAAAATGAAGTGGGTCGATTGTGTTTCGTTTTCGTAGCGATTACTTTTTTTAAGTTTTTTTTTTTGTATGTGAAATTTTCAAATTTCTTTGAAAATTTAATTCCCCAATTTTGCAAGGAAAGTTTAAAGACGTTTATTCTGTTTAATATTATCCATATCGATTTAGAGCGTTGTTGGAGAACTTTGAGAAACTTCGACACACGTATTGCAATATCGTTAATGCATTTTAACCCTGGTTGCTTACGACCTAACGTACCCGCCGTTAAAACATATGGAAAGCTGAAGATTTATCGTGATGGCGATGAGCTCGAGTTTCCGTACGATGAGAAATGTATCACCATCTCAGTGCAGCGTCGTGGCAAATTCACTTGTCGAGTTTCGAATAGACACTTTTTTCCTCGTTAACAAGGCAAAGCCGCATCGCGAGGAACGGCAAGTTTTCCAATTTATGTGCGCCGTTCGCTTTGACGCAAGAAATTTCTATGCAAAACGCTCCCGGCGTCTGACGGAAATTGGGATGGATGTCGTCGGCAATGTCGCTTAAGGGATGCAGCTATTACGTCCCAGGGTGTACTTTAGCGCTGTACTATAATGACGTAACCGCTTCTTGCATCGTATGTCAAATATATTTCACGCGGGTATCAGATATCGCTATCATTGATACGAGACGCTATGGCTCCTTTGCTTACAGCCATTACGAAGAAACATATTCAGATACAGCCTCCACGAGTGCCAAATGACGAGAAAAAAATTAATAACGATCTTAATAAATTACCTAATATCAATTCTTCGGAACCATTTTAAAATGCTAAAATTTAACAGAGAGTTCTCTTAATTTCATATGTTATACGAAAAAATCCAAGATAACTTACAATATGCACGGTTCCATATATATGCACGGTTCTCAAAAATCAAGAATTTCGGTCTGTCCTGTTTAGTGGTCATTGGACGCCAATGGCAACTTTGAAGCGATGAGAACGTTCGGTCATTCGATCTCAATAAACCGTGAAACACGCTAGTAACTCGATACGAGAATTGCCGATGCGAAACTGGACGTTCGAATATCGAGCAAACTCCACAAGGAAACCACCACCCTCAAAACAACCCCCCGTGCGAGGTTCATAGCTCGTTCACCAGCAACCCCTCAAGCCAGTTTACATGGACATACTCGTACTTCT